TTTATTTCTTTAGTGTTCTGTCTGACGACAGGTCCATATGAACAGGATTCTTCCATCCTTTTCTCGGACTGGGATCTGTTCATATACGTTCTTGGCAGATGATCCCGAAGTGGTTTGCCATTGCCTTCTTCTGTGTGTGTGAATGGAGTAATTGTTGGGATGCCACGGAGGAAAACTCCGTGTTGCCTAGACCACGGCCTTGCCCAACACAAGTTATAAATTCGGGCACCGCCGGGAATCTAACCCGAGACCCCAGGATTACAAGGCCAGCGTTCTAACCGCTAGACCACCATGGCCATCATTTAAAAAAAATATATTTGCCTAAGACGCAACAATTATCACGGATTGCACTGTGTAACGATAACGATCTACGTACTGCGGCTTGAATAACTTCAGTGTTCTAGGAAGATGACACATTTCAGTGTTGTTAAACAAGGGCTACATCGTTTTCCTCGTGGGTTTTTCGCCTGCGATTAATTTGAAATAACCCCTCTGAGCGGTATAAATGAGTTTCGTCCACCGTGAAACACTGTTATCGAAATATCAGCCGTGAACTTCGGAGGAGGGTGCCAACCCTTTGGAATGTCGACAGACACCAGGTGGGGCTTTCATGCAGTACATTGCTTCTATCTTGACTTATTGTTTACATCCATCTCACCCTTAATTTTAAAAGGGCAGCATTGTAAATCAAGACAGTTTCAAGGTTCTGATGTAATTAACCGCGACTTTATAAACCGTGTAACAGGAATAAAGTAATGTTTCAACCTGTTCTTGGTACAAAGAAATGAATGAACATTGCAGAATTTAGTTTTGCTTAGCGCAGTGTAATAAGAATAAATTTACGTTCAAGTAATTTAGGTGTTCTTGACAAATGAACCATATCAATTTTCCTCCACAGTAGTTATTGCCAAACACAGTTTCACGAAAGCCTATCGTTCTATAATGGCGTCTTATCTGATAGAATACCTGAAGTGTTAAGGTAATTAACATCTCCGAATGCACGAGAGAATAATATTAAACTGGATCATAGATGAATACATTGTAATTTTTATTTGTTATTTTCTTGCAAATATGAATGCAGTAATGAAACAGAACACACATTTTTAAGGACACATGCACGTGGTACTATTGATACAAGATGAACATCATCCGTTTTTGAGAATGTTTTTAAAATTGTTTAAGCATTATCTAGAGCAGTGGTATTAACCATTTTTTGTTCGCGTACCCCCAGATATAATTTCTCTTTCAACTTTGTACCCCGAAAGTTGTTGGTGTATAATTCAAGTTATACTTAGTATATAATCTACATCTAAAATAAATTAAATAAATTACATTACTGATTATTCAGTGTTTATCATAAAATAATATATATATTTAAATTTCACGTACCCCCTAAGATGTCTTCGCTTACCCCCTAAGAAGTTTTCGCGTACCCCCGGGGGTACGCGTACCCCAGGTTGAAAACCATTGATTTAGATAATTGAGTTTTATTGCACTGACATGAACAGCAGTTAAATTTATATACCGGCAACTTTTAGAGAAGATTTATAATAATAAATGTGATCAAAATCATTTGTGTAATTTTTAGTATGGAACAAGCTTGCGGACGGACAAAGACGAGCTCAGTTTTTTTGTGTTTAATTCGCACAATTTGTACGGAGGAAGTAAATCGATTTATTTGTCAAGTTCGTATTTCTGTCAGGCACGGTCATTTTATAGGCTGCACCAGGGACTGTCAGCCGGATATAACAAGATAATCACGAGTCCATTTGTTTACGTTGAGACTAAACCGTATGTGGAATGAAAAGAGTCTGCCACATCGCCTGGGGAAATTACTTGACAAAACTGCCCACTGGCTTTCAAGGGAAATCCCTTAGAACACTCCCAACAATCACTGAAGTT